GCAGGTGTGCAGGGGGAGGGGGGCCGGGGTTGTGTGCAGAGCGCTCGGGGCTCACGGTGTCCGCTTCCCTCCCGCAGAGCAGAACTACTGCGAGTCCCGGTACCACTTCCTGCACTCGGCGGACGGCGAGGGCTGTGCGCACATGCTGGTGGAGTACTCCACGTCCAGGGGCTTCCGCAGCGAGGTGGATATGTTCGTGGCCCAGGCCGTGCTACAGTAGGTACCCGCCTTGGCTCGGCCTCCTGTCACCTGGCCGAGACGCCACCCAGGGTCGCCACCCCACGACCCTGCCGCAGACCTGTCGGGGAGGCTGTGTGTTGTCGCCCCGGTCCCCCGGACCGTTTGTGGGATTTGAGTCGGGCAGCCGCGGAAGGGAGTGTTCTGACCGGCGTCCTGCCGTTCCTCCCCGTGTTCCGTTCTCTAGATTTTCTGGGTGGCAGGCCGCTGTCATTCAGGGGGTGTGCATATTTAATAAAATGTCCGAGGTGTCCCGGGTCGAGGAGCGAGTGTGGGTCCCGGACGTCTCGTGTGAGGCTCCCCCGCTCCCGTTGGTCTGTCTCCCTGCCCCCTCGCCAGTGGTTTTCCGGGACCGTCGAGCACGCACAGCTTGGGAGGGAGGCAGGGTAGGCCCGCGCTCCCGCCTCGGAAACCCCCGGAATCAGTGGCCGGGTGTTGGAACAGGACACGTTCTGTGCATGTGAACGGGAGGGGGGTCACAGCACGCTCGCTGGGCCTGACGGCACCTCGGAGCTCCCCGCCCCGCCGCACGGCGGCCTGATACGTGTCTGTGCCTCTAAATGGAGAGTTTCCGGGACTCCAGAGCCCCCGAGCCCAGTTGTGTGGTGCACGGCGCCTGTGTGTGGATCCCGAGACCACCTGGTCACCTCGCTCGCACTTTGACGAGGAGGGACAAGCGGCCACGGGAAGGCCGTGGAGATGGCCCCACGGGGCGGGAGTCAGAGCCTGTCCCACTGCCCCGCACACTCCCCAGGGCCCTGGACTGACTTGCTGGGCGCACGCGGTCTGGAGTTCGAGAACCCACCACAGACACGGTCACCCTCATGAGCTTCACGTCCTCGCCTGGAAATTGCGAATGCAGAGGGGTGCTGTGCATGGCGGGGGCCCCCGTGTGCTGTTTGGGGACGGCCTTCTGCTGTGCCCCCAGAAGCGTCCCAGGTCTGGTGCTCACGTGAGCGTCTGTGCGAGTCCCTTGTTTCTGCCTTGGTACCCTGCTTACTAGGGCGTCCCTTCCAGGTTTCTCTGTTTAAAGAACAAAAGCAGCGCGTCAGTGGTGTTCACAACGTACACGCAGAAACACCCGTCCATCGAGAACGGCCCTCCGTTTGTGCAGCCTCTGCTGAATTTCATCTGGTTTCTGCTGTTGGCCGTAGATGGGTGAGTTGTGTGTGCGTGGAGGGGTCGTGTGTGTGTGTGTGTGTGGGGGGAGGGGGTACAGAGCACACAGAGGGATGCGCACACGTGTGGAGGGGCGCGTGCGTGTGCCCTGCACGTTGGACTCTCCTGGACATCCGTGCTGCCATCCGTGTCGCTTCAGGGGCAAACTGACCGTGTTCACGGTGCTGTGTGAGCAGTACCAGCCGTCCCTCCGGCGGGACCCCATGTACAATGAGGTGAGGGGCGCGTGGGGCCGGGCGACGGCTGGAGGAGGAGAGGGC